GAAACAAAAACAGCATTCTAGGCAATACATTCATTTTTACCGCAGCAATACGGCCCAGCAGTGAAAGCTTCAAATTTGACCAAATTTCTAAATCTTTTTTCACTTCAGCCCAACATTTTTCATAGTTATCTTTAAATAAATTCCCATTTTTTGCTGTCATGTTAATCCCCAGATATTTAACTTTCTTAACCACTGTTAAACCTGTCACATTCTGAAACCTCTCTCTCTCCATTGGTGTTAGATTTTTCTCTAAAACCTTAGTTTTTAACTTGTTCAATTTAAATCCTGCAACCTGACCAAATTCTTGAATCAGTTCTAAAACCCTTTTGGTACTAGATTCTGGCTCCTGTAACGTCAATACTAAATCATCTGCAAATGCTCTCAATTTGTACTGTTTAGCTCCGACCTGTATACCTTTAACCAACTGGTCCCTTCTAATCATGTTCAGCAAAACCTCCAGGACCGAAATAAAAAGTAGTGGGGAAATTGGGCATCCTTGTCGTGTCCCTTTTTCTATCTTAAGTTCTTCCGTCACCACATTATTTACAATTAATTTAGCCTTTTGTTCTGAATAAATTGCACTTATACCGTTTTCAAAACCTTGGCCTACCCCCATACCCTGTAGGTTCTTCTTCATGAAACTCCAAGAAATGTTGTCAAAAGCTTTCTCCGCGTCCACAAATATCAAAACTGCTTTAGTATTTATGTTCACTTCTAGTTTTTCCAAAATATCAATTATATTCCTCAAATTGTCAGACAAGTGTCTTCCCGGGAGAAAGCCCGCTTGATCTTTATGAATCTCTTCCATCAACACTTTTTTAAATCTCTTAGCCAAAATGTCTGCAAAAATTTTGTAATCCACATTAAGTAATGATATGGGGCGGTAGTTCTTAAGCTGTGTCTTTACAGTCTCTGTTTTCGGTACAAGTGTAATATAAGCTTCTTTCCACGACTCTGGTGCCCTTTTCCCCTCCATTATTTCATTACAGACCTCTTTCAAGGGTTGTACTAACCATTCTTTCAAAGATCTATAATATCTAGAAGTCAATCCATCCGGTCCTGGAGACTTACCCAATTGCATGTTTTGAATGGCACCTTCTATCTCCTGTTCAGTTATTTTATAGTTCAACATTAATTTATTTTCTTGCGAGATTTTTTTGTAATCCATTTGTTTTCAAAAATTGATCTAGATCAGTTTCTTTCAGTGGCCCTCTCTCTTCTTCACTCTTAAACCCCTCTGGGAATTGTAGCTCCAGATGATTTGCTAGGAGAACCCTATTTCCGTCAAAGAGCTGAAATTCTCACGGTCAATTCCTCTCCCCAGGGAACTCTGGCAATTCCAGCCTCAGTGCTTTCCAGAGGAATGGGCTGGGGGGCTGGGGACTGAAACAGGCCTCCTCTCCAAATGGTGCTCAGCCTCTCTACTCTTAACTGCCTGCCATCATCTTTGCAACTCTCTGCTACCTGTCCACCCAGACAGATTTTGCTACAGACCCTCCAAGTGACCCAGTTTTCCAGGGACAGTCCCAGACTGTCTCGGTTTCTGATTTGATCCCAGAATGTCCCATTTTTCCTTAGGACGTCTATATTTTCATTGGAGAAATGTTGGGTGGTATGGTGTTATCTGACCCCCCGATCCATCTGAAGGCAATCCTATACAGTCGTACCTCGGAAGTCAAATGGAATCCATTCCGGAAGTTCGTTCGACTTCCAAAATGTTTGGAAACCAAAGCATAGCTTCTGATTGGCTGCAGGAAGGTTGGCTTCCAGTTGGCTGCAGCCAACTGGAAGCCATGGAAGCCCCATCGGACGTTCAGCTTCCCAAAATAGTTCACAAACTGGAACACTCACTTCCGGGTTTGGGGTTTTTGGGAGCCAAAACATTTGAGAACTAAGCTGTTCAAAAACCAAGGTACGATTGCATAGGGAAGGGTTTTTTAAATGTTTAATGTTTTAGTATACGTTTTATATATGCCCAGAGTGCCTGGGGCAACCCAGTAAGAAGTGTAGGGTATAAATAATAAAATTATCGTTATTGAGCGAGATGTCCCTATTTTCATCGGATAAATGTTAGTGTGTTACCACCACCATCCAGCGTCGCCATATAAAACTGTGGGAATCAGGCCATGGATAATAAAGTAAGGCCCAGTAGTAGGAGCATCCCATACCCCGCAAGTGTTCCAGAAAAACCAGCACATCCTGGTTTTTTATCATGAAAGCATGGCAGCCATTTTAGTTGCTGTGATCTCACGCGATTTTGCAGTGCAATCTTCTCCTGAAAAAAAGCACTTGGGGTGGGCTGCAATCTTGCAGGGTACCCCAAAACACGTGTTTTTTGGATGCTTTGACCGAAAAAGCGCTTTTGGGGAAAGGAACCACAGTGCGAAATTGCATGAGATCACAGCAACCCAGATGGTCGCCGTGTTCTTGCGATTAAAAAAATGGGAAGGTGGCGTCTGGGAAGATGGCACCCCGAATTTGGGCACCCCACAATGTCAGGAGGAAGGCAGCAAGTCCACTTCAACGCTCCTCCCCCTGTCTCTCACTCAGGGGGAAAGTCACCACGTCAAACTTGCCCTCTACCAGGCTTTTGCCCCAAGTGAGGGTCATAGGCCTGTTTCTTACAGGACCTGGAGTACAGTTCCATATTTTGACCGACAGTGCGATTGCCCCTGTGCCTCTGACACCCCAAAGTAAAGACACCCAAAGCATCAAGCCCCTTTGGTGTCTCCCCTTCAGAAACAGCCATGCTGCCCGCGGCAGAGCTTGTTCTTCTAATAAGGCAGGCCAGGGATTATGGCAATTGTAGTCTGGAAACATCTAGGGGGCCACAAACGCCCCACCCCTGATCGGAGCAGAGCGCCATATTGTAATGCTGTGATTTATAGGCGAAGCCCTTCCTTCTGGATGGCTTCATTTCAAATGGTGAATTTGAAACTTCCATTGAAAACTATAAATCCACAGAGTGACTCCCCACCCCCCACCTTACAAGTCAAAAAAAAAGTTTAAATAATCACACCCATGAATTAGACAGCTTGGGCAGACTCATAACCTATGAATTACAGGGTGGTACGTGAACTGCATCGCAATGGTGCCTTCTACACTATTAATTTTCTTTTTTTCTTCTTACGTAATTCTTCCTAAGGGTTCAGGCATTAATGGAGTACTAGAGCTCCCAGTGCAGACAAGAGACCAGCACATTCCAGATTCTAATTTGAATTGTAATTTTTAAAGCGTTGAAGAGACGTCCCTTTGCCCCCAACCACTGAAGGTATTTGTCATCCCCTCCTCCCTCCAGAATGACAGCCCCGTTCGACATTTCTCTCCTCATCTGGCCAAGGTTCTCTCCCCAAGTACTGTATAAACATTTAGATAATAGATTTTTCTGGTGGTGTTGGGGAACCAATCTGAACCCCCCCCCAACAAAACCCCCCGATTTCTCTGGGAAGAGGGATTGATGGTTTGGGAACCACTCTGTAAACGGTAGCTCTGTGAAGGGAATAAAGGACCCTTCACAAACTACAACTCCCAGGATTCTTTGGGGGAAGAAGCCATGACTGTTCCAAGTGGTATCGTAGTGCTTTAAATGTACGGTTCGAATTTGGCCAGCGTTTGCCATCAAAAGGTATCTGTCTCCCACCCTCCAGCTCTTGAAAAGCCTGCATACGAGAGCTGCTTCCAGCAGACTTCTGAGGGGGCTTTCTAGCCTTTGGAGTTGAGGCAGGAAAGATGGTTGTTGGCCCTGAATTCCCCCACCATTCCTCTTTGTTGGAGGACCCTGGGTTCTAATGCTATGAGAGAGGTCTGTTTGCTTTTTTCAAACAGTACACCTCTGCCATGCTCCTTTACTTGCCTTTTTTTCCAAGCTAAAAAAACCCCAAACATTGTACAGTGCTACCTCGGGTTACAGACGCTTCAGGTTACATACGCTTCAGGTTACACACTCCGCTAACCCAGAAATAGTACCTTGGGTTAAGAACTTTGCTTCAGGATGAGAACAGAAATCGTGTGGCAGCAGGAGGCCCCATTAGCTAAAGTGGTACCTCAGGTCAAGAACAGTTTCAGGTTAAGAACGGACCTCCAGGACAAATGTAAGTTCTTAACCCGAGGTACCACTGTAATCTTTTCTCACAGAGAATTTGTTTCACAGAGAATTTGTTTCAGTCCCTTAGTGATCTTGGTTCCCCTTTTTGGGATTCCCTGGAACTCAACTGCAAAACTGTTGATTTGGGGCATCTCCACCCCCATCGTTCTGCCCGGACACTGAGGTCCAGCTCTAAGGGTCTTCTGGCGGTTCCCTCAATGCGAGAAGTGAGGTTATAGGGAACCAGGAAGAGGGCCTTCTTGGTAGTGGCACCTGCCCTGTGGAACGCCCTCCCACCAGATGTCAAGGAAATAAACAACTTTCTGATTTTTAGAAGACATCTGAAAGCAGCCCTATTTAGGGAAGTTTTTAATATTTGATGTTTTATTCTGTTTTTAATCTGTTGGGAGCCACCCAGAATGGCTGGGGAAACGCAGCCAGATGGGCGGGGTATAAATAATAAATTTATACAGCAGCAGTTTTGGGGGGGCATACATGTACGTATGTATGTATGTATATATTGCTTTTTTATTCTAAAATGGCATAATATATTAAAATCATAAAGTGGGTGTGTACCTTAGGAATCAGCTAGAAATGTCGAGTTTGCTAAATCAACTGTAGCTAAAAAAAATTAAATAATAATAATAATGTTTTTAGCTAAATTGTTATCCGGGTTTGTTTTTCTGGACTATTGTGCCTGCTGCTTTGGTTAGCATAGTCACTTAAATAAGACAAAGTCCAGAGAGAAAAGTCTTGAAAATGCATTACTGAGGAACCGGAGCAGTGCGGGGCGGGGGGGGTGTAATGTGAGAAATAAACGGAGCAGTTTTGTGTTTTCTTACTTCAGGCCTTGTACAGATCAGGAAGACATCCAGCCAAACATATGGAGGAAAACTCCCTCAGAACTACAGAGCACAAACTACCTTACAGCACTCTGCCTGGTTGCTAAGTAACATCACCTCAGCCACCCTCTTAGCTGACTTATGGATAACAAAATTAACCCATAAATTACATATGGAATGATCTCTTCTGTTACCCTTCCAGCAGTTATAAATCTTTACAGGTACAGTTTTATTGTTTTTCTCACCAACAGACGCCTCTCCAGATCTATTAATACCGTAAGATGAGGCTTTCAGATTTGAGGATCAGTGACCTTGCCCCAATCATAATAAATTATCGTCCTGCCCACCACCCCCGCCATTGCGCCATAGTACCTGACTTTCCTTGAGCTTTTCTTTATATGAACCAATTTATCATAAAAGAGGTTGGAGAGGAACAAGGACTGCGGAAAATGTATCCCGAGAAAGCTAGTCAAAATTGGAGCCACTGAAAAGCCTTCATCCTAATTACAAAAGACAGAATCTCAAGAATAACCGGTATGAAACTATTCTAAAAAGAAAATTGCATCTCCTCCACTGTGCTCTGATCTGCGTGGGAAGATACCTTCTTCTTATCTTCCCTTTTGTTTGACTAGATCTGGGTTGGCATGTCCGCGCTAAATCATTCTCTAAGTCTTGCCTTGTTTTTCAAACAAATTATCAGACCAAATTACTTACTCCGCTCAGATAATGACGCCATTCAGATTGTCTAATGTACAATTTCCTGACACTCTCCGCAGTGGTTTCTTAGGAACCCATTCACAGGGAGACCTGAGATCAGAACCTCTTCCAGCCTCAGTCCAACCCTGGGAAAGGTATTAATGTGCAAATGTTGCATAAGAAGGTAGTGGGGATGCACTGCAATGCACACTGCAATGCGCACCCCATGCAAAGTAATATAGCACAGGTAGATTGCATCCTTCCCCAACTGTGTACAGTGGTACCTCTGGTTACGTACTTAATTTGTTCCGGAGGTCCGTTCTTAACCTGAAACTGTTCTTAACCTGAAGCACCACTTTAGCTAATGGGGCCTCTTGCTGCCACTGCGCCGCAAGTTTCTGTTGGGATTTCTGTTCTCATACTGAGGCAAAGTTCTCAATTCGAGGTAACTCTTCCAGGTTAGCGGAGTCTGTAACCTGAAGCGTATGTAACCCGAGGTACCGCTGTATTCAGATGAAAACTACCAGCGGGGGTGGGTGGGGAGGGATTCAGGACATTATACGCCAGGGGTCAGCAAACTTTTTCAGCAGGGGGCCAGTCCACTGTCCCTCAAACCTTGTGGGGGGGGCGGACTATATTTTTTTGGGGGGGAATGAGCAAATTCCTATGCCCCACAAAAAAACCCCAGAGATGCATTTAAATAAAAGCACACATTCTAGTCATGTAAAAGCACGCTGATTCCTGGACCGTCCGCAGGCCGGATTTAGAAGGTGATTGGGCCAGATCCAACCCCCGGGCCTTAGTTTGCCTACCCATGTTATACGCCTATCGGCTTAGAGTTCTGAATTTCCTTAGCTCAGGAGTGGATCATCTTTTTCTTTTGTTGAAAATCATATTCCCTGGGGATAATCTGCCAGGGACCACATAGCTGTGGTCTCAGGCGGTTCAAAGAAAATCCTTGCCACCCAAATGAAGTTACAAGTAGGGCAAGGATGCATGAAATTAGGTTGAGGGCCATGCAAGGCCCTAGGGCTGGTGTGGCAAGCTTCTGGCCCTTCAGAGTTCTGCTGAACTACAACTCCCATCAGCCCCAGCAAGTATAGCCATTGACCGGGGGGATGGGAATTGTAGTTCAGCAACACCTGGAGGGCCGAAAGTTCCTCACACTTGCCCACACCTGCCTCAGGTGGACGTAGGAGACTGACTTTCACCTTCTGTTCTGTCCAATAAGCCACACTCATGGGAATCATAAGCCACACAAAGCCTTGGGTGTTTAAGGAATAAGTTCTGCAAGAGCACCTGACCCAATAAAAGTGACATATTAATATTAATAACATTAAGAATAATATGAATACATTATCACTGCAAACCAAATGATTTTGATTAAACTGTCCCCATACAAACTCGGTTCACTAAGGTACAGAGCTCTCTGCTGAGGTGTTTTTGTATATCCGACGTTGTCATAAAAGTTGCGGCATAAATATTTCATGAATAAATAAATTGCTGTTTTTGTTGTTTTAATTCTGTAAGGTGCCCTGGAAATATTAATGCTGTAGGGTGACATTTTGATAGAACAAAACAAAGAATAGATATGAAAATTATGAGAAAATCTTAATGCGAAAGCTATTTAAACATTGCATAGTGCAGTAAATATATACAACCAGCAGGACTTGCCACATTGTTTTCTGTTTTAATTTGATGGGTCACCTTCTCTATTACACATAAATCACCTCTTCTAATTAGTAATGATCCGTTTATTGCCTTACCTGTCCCATCCCCCACTCACACTTCCCAACGCCCTTGGATCAGTTAACATTTAAGCCTTGTAGGCTACAGTCCTATGCATGCTTACCTGGAAGTAAGTCCCATAAAACTTAACAGAGCTTACTTCTGAGTAGACATGTATCGGATTGCCTTATTGGTGAAGCTACAATTGTAGAACGCACCCCTCTCTGCATATACAGCCTTCCAGACAAGGGAAATATCTTCCTTTCCTTAGAGGACAAATGAAGAAACTGGCATCAGAGAGCACAGCTGTGCCACACATTAAGGCTAAATTGCTGAATCCTCGAGCCCACCCACACTTCTTTCCACAGCTTCTCAGACTTCTGGATCCTCCTAACCCTGCACGATCTACTAGAGTTGTGCTCTTGAAAAATTACTGTTGCATTTCATCTCATCCCTTGTTCTGTTTTGTTTCCAGGAACCCAATTTCCTTACTTTTCCATTTGTCATTGTCTCATTTGTTTAGTTTCCATTTCATTACTGTTTCGTTCCCTCCTCTTTTTCTTTTCTTGGTTATTCATTTCATTTCTAGGTTAATTAGAACAGAGATGCAGCCATAACATTGGTGTTTACCATCCAAACGGCATTAAATACGTGTGGATGTTGTGCTATTCGCCTAAGGCAGACGTTCCCAAAACAGGGGTGGAAGAACCTCTGGGCTCTGGGCCATTCTTGGCCTACGAGGCAGTCCGAGTTGGGCTGCTAAGACATTTCCCCAAAACCAAACCCACCTGACCATCAGCTGACATGACCAGGTGACATCAGTTGGCTAGCATGGTTCAGTCCAGCTGAGTGCTGTTTCACCAGCTCATTCCCTGCAGGGAATGTGCTGGTGAACGAGACCCCTCCATCTGGCCCCATGGGTCATCTTTGACAGGTGGGAGACAGAGGGCCTACCCCTGCCCACCTATCAGTCACCTGATGTCATTGCGATGACTGACAGGTGGGTGGGGTCAATGTTGTCTCATGGTGGTAGGGTGAGAAAGATTTGTAGAAACAGATTTAGTCACTGGGAGAGGATATACTGTTGTTATTATCCTTCCTTGCTCACTTTAGTGAGATCAACAGAGTACCATCCTTTGCAGCTTAAACTTGGAAGCTAAGACAAAGTTGACCTAACCTTCTAGAAACAATAATCCAGGATGCTTTAAGGCAGACTGGATTTTCCTGGTATTGCCCCTTTTCTCCCCCTTAAAAACAACGATCACACACCCACACATGGTTGTGTGAACAAATAAAAGTAGTATTTACTTACATAATCTAGGCCTTGAAGCAGCAATTAAAGTTGCAAAATGAAGGCAGGTTTGTAACTACTGTACTATCTAAGTTACAAAAGTACAAAATGGAAGTATTTTTTAAAAAGGTGTCGGAGCTGCAGAGATCAAGCATGCATGTGTCATCAGCTTCGGAGCATGATGAAGAAAAAGAGAGGTGCCTAGGCAAGAAGGAAGTGTGCAGTGTTAAAGCTTCCTGCCAGGGCAGCCAAAGGAAGTGACCTCACAGAGTTCTCTCTAGCAAATATTACAGGAAATCTCTGTGAGCCTCAGCTCCTTCATGTTTCTATCTGGCAGAACATGATTTGTTGGTATGACTACGATAGTGTCCCACAATATCAAGATCTGGTTCCCCATCCTTGCTATAAAGGATTGGATTCAGATTTGATGCTGTGCCCACCTTTGCCTGTGGCCTTACCTACCACTGGCATGTGGGTACCAGAAGTATCTACACCCAGAACCCTCCCATACTGTGAATGGGTCTCCATTTCTGGTGTTGGCTCTTGACCCAGAAGACATCTTAAGGCAGCCCTGTTCAGGGAAGTTTTTAATGTATGACATATTAGTGTATTTTTGGTCTTTGTAGAAGCCGCCCAGAGTGGCTGGGGAAACCCAGCCAGATGGGTGGGGTACAAATAAATTATTATTATTATTATTATTATTATTATTATTATTATTATTATTGGGTAAAAACACAGGGTGAAAGGAAGGGGGAGAGAAGATTGTGCCCCCTCCCACTTTTGCATCCGGCCCTGCCCACCAGTGGCATGTGGCCCCTGACAGATTACCCCCAAGGAAATGCAACCCAAAGGTTTGGTTATAGAAGAACAGACAGCCTGACTGACCTTGTAATTATTTTCTCCCCTGGAGGAGAAAATTAGAACTATTTGTTCAAAGCCACAGATAAATACCGTAATGCCATTTTTCTTTTACTTTATGCGGGGGGAGGGATATATATATATATATATATACAAGATGGGGGAGAAGATGCCTATAAAACACGTGCATGGTGACAACTGGAAGCTGCGGAATTGGGTTGGAATTGCATTTTGCCCCCTTTTGAAAGCTTAATTTGTCATTTCTGGATGCTGCGTATATACCACAGGACATAGCTGCAGAGTTGAATCATGACTCTCCTGCCAAGGCAGCATTTAAAACCCACAAGATGGAAGTAAATTCTACTGCTGCAATGCAAAGCCCGGTTTCGGGGAGGTCAGATAGGCATCTTTCTCCCACCCCCACCCCTCAAAAAACCAAAATGCAAAGCTGCTGTTGCTCCCGCATTCAACATTGCCAGAGAGTCTCTTTGCACAGCCCTGAGAAACTAGGAAAGCTGTGGATATCGCAGGCCTCTTACAGAAACACAGCATCATGGCGAAACTGGTGCTCAGGGGTGGCAAACCTCAGGCCGAGGGGCCGAATGTGGTCCTGGGGATTCCCACCTCTCCCCAGCCACACCCCTGTCAGGTCTCTGAAGAGTGTGTGGCAGAGGCAAGGGCCAAGGGGAGTGTTATGTACTGATTTGAATAGGATCCAAAATGCAGCAGCCTGATTGGTCCTAGAACAATAGGATTCAGAATGCAGCAGTCTGATTGGTCCACAGGAGCCACCCAGTCCAGCTCCAGGTGGAAGTGAATCCGCAACCTGATTGGCCTACAGGAGAATCCCGGAATTAGCCAATCATGTGGGGCCCATTGTGTAAATAATGTATATGAAGCAGACATTCCATTCCTCCTCGCCACTATGAGCTGAATAAAGAGCATGAAATCCACTCTCGACTCCGAGTATATTTCAGGGAGTGACCCAGGAGAGGGAGCCAGCGCTTCATGGGGTTTGACGCCATTCGCAAGGCAGGAGCCAGGGCAGGCGGAGGGAAGAGAATCAGGGCAGTCCAAGATGGAGGAAGGTGCATAGGATGTGGTGGAAGAAGAAGAGGCCGTTCAGGCGGCAGACAGGTCACTAGGCCTTCCCCGGACCTGCTGTCTCCTAGAACCAGGAGGGGCTTGAAGTGGAAACAGCAAGTCAGCCCTAAATTACACCATGCAGGTTGGAGTTCACTTTTTATTAGTAAAAACACCATCTCCGCAGACTTCACTGAGTGTCAGGCTTAGTGAGCAGAGCAGTTCATTCCCTGTGCTCTTCCTCCATGAAAATCAGTTGCCGCGACTGAAAGTCCCCTCCTCCCCACAGCCATCTAAGCCCCCGCCTCTCCAGGGCTTTTTTCAAGCAATCGGAGACTGCGCCTGCGTGAAGCCAATCTCTCTTCTGCCCTTTTCATGCTTCTTCTGGTCCTGAGAGATGAGGAGGAGAGGGAAGCTGGTCACAGCAGGAGGAGAGACACTCATGGCTCTTCACCAGCTGCATTCACCTCTGCCTCTTGGCCTCCTTCCTCTCCTGCTTCAGCTTCTGCCTCTGATTCTGGACCTCTCTCTGCCACAGACTCTGCCAGCTCACTAAGCTACTGTTTCAGTTTGCCCCGTCAACAATCCCTGAGCTCTGAGCCTTCTTCCCTTTGTAGTTCCCCAGCTGGTTCCCCCCACCATTCCTCTGCATCCAACTAGTCCCCAACAACTTTCCATGTAGAAGAAGTATTAGGGGAGGGTATATAAGCTGCAGAGGGGTGGGGGTCTCATTATTGGCGCAACTGCTCTGCAGGGTGCAGATTTATGGAGGACAGCTGTCTAGCGACTAGAGCCGTGTGTGTGTGTGTGTGCGTGTACATTTGCGTGTGCATCTAGAGCACCACGGGAGTCACCTTAAGTGCTTCTTTTGTCAATAAAGACTTGACTCTCAGACGTATACCTTCTTTAGCTGTGGTGGGCTAGGGGAGCCCCCTTTCCCCAAGCCACACATCCTCACTGACCCTTCTCCACAGGCTTTGGCTGGAATGTGCATTGGAATTCTGTTCACGCCTCTGGATGGAGGAGGATGGAGAGAGGGGTGTGGGAGTGCATGTGTGGAAACTAGGCTACTTGTTGTTGTTTAGTCGTGTCTGACTCTTCGTGACCCCATGGACCAGAGCACGCCAGGCACTCCTGTCTTCCACTGCCTCCCGCAGTTTGGTCAAACTCATGCTGGTAGCTTCGAGAACACTGTCCAACCATCTCATCCTCTGTCGTCCCCTTCTCCTTCTGCCCTCCATCTTTCCCAACATCAGGGTCTTTTCCAGGGAGTCTTCTCTTCTCATGTGGTGGCCAAAGTATTGGAGCATCACCTTCAGGAACTGTCCTTCCAGTTAGCATTCAGGGCTGATTTCCTTAAGAATCGATAGGTTTGATCTTCTTGTAGTCCATGGGACTCTCAAGAGTCTCCTCCAGCACCATAATTCCAAAGCATCAATTCTTCGGCGATCAGCCTTCTTTATGGTCCAGCTCTCACTTCCATACATCACTACTGGGAAAACCATAGCTTTAACTATACGGACCTTTGTCGGCAAGGTGATGTCTCTGCTTTTTAAGATGCTGTTTAGGTTTGTCATTGCTTTTCTCCCAAGAAGCAGGTGTATTTTAATTTCGTGGCTGCTGTCACCATCTGCAGTGATCATGGAGCCGAAGAAAGTAAAATCTCTCACTGCCTCCATTTCTTCCCTTTCTATTTGCCAGGAGGTGATGGGACCAGTGGCCATGATCTTCGTTTTTTGATGCTGAGCTTCAGACCATATTTTGCGCTCTCCTCTTTCACCCTCATTAAAAGGTTCTTTAATTCCTCCTCACTTTCACTAGGCTACTACAGAAAGGTAAAGCACATTTTATTGCCCCATCCACTTTTCCCTTTTGCCCCGCCCACCACCAGCATGCTGTGTGAAACAGTACATCCTTTCATCGGTCCTAAAACCAGGTCACTTGAGAGAATACTTGTTCTATAGTCCAGCTCTTCTCTGGAAAGATTGGAATGCCATTCCTAGGTTTCTGCCTAGGATCGCAGCTGTTCGGCTACGACAATGTGCCAGAATTAGCAGGAAGTAGGGCTGGAGTCCTTGTGGGGGAGGTCTGACCTTTAGATGTCCACAAAAATGATAAGTCAGTGTTGGGCAGCTAAATGTCCCATGGCATTAGCAAGCTGGTGAAATGTGAGCCAGACAATAATACCCTTCGGTTGATTCGCAGCTGGAGAGAAAATCATACTTGGAAAGTGGGCATCAGTGGTTCCTCATCAAACTGGAGAGAGGCACTGAGTGGGGTGCCGCTACTCAGAGCCTAGTAATATTTTCATTAATTACTTAGATTACTGAGAGCCAGTGTGGTGTAGTGGTTAAGAGCGGTGGACTCGTAATATGGTGAACTGGGTTCGATTCCCCGCTCCTCCACATGCAGCTGCTGGGTGACCTTGGGCCAGTCACACTTCTCTGAAGTCTCTCAGCCCCACTCACCTCACAGAGTGTTTGTTGTGGTGGAGGAAAGGAAAGGAGAATGTTAGCCGCTTTGAGACTCCTTCAGGTAGTGATAAAGCAGGATATCAAATCCAAACTCTTCTTCTTCTCTTCTTAGATGAAAGCAGTTGTTGAAGGGACCCTTATCAAACCCGCATATCACACAAAAAACAGGGAATGCCAGAGAAGATAGGAATGAAATTCAAAACAGCATGGACAGAAAGGGAAACTGGGCTGAAATGGACAGAATGGAGTTCAACAAGGACAAATACAAAGTCTTGCATTTGGGCAACAACACATGTATATGATGGGATATATTTTGGAAGCAGCACATGAGGAAAGGATTTTGGGACCATAATGGTAAAGGGACCCCTGACCATTAGGTCCAGTCGTGGCCGACTCTGGGGTTGCGGCGCTCATCTCGCTTTATTGGCCAAGGGAATCATAGACTCATAGAATCATAGAGTTGGAAGAGACCACAAGGGCCATCGAGTCCAACCCCCTGCCAAGCAGGAAACACCATCAGAGCACTCCTGACATATGGTTGTCAAGCCTCTGCTTAAAGACCTCCAAAGAAGGAGACTCCAACACACTCCTTGGCAGCAAATTCCACTGTCAAACAGCTCTTACTGTCAGAAAGTTCTTCCTAATGTTTAGGTGGAATCTTCTTTCTTGTAGTTCGGATCCATTGCTCCATGTCCGCTTCTCTGGAGCAGCAGAAAACAACCTTTCTCCCTGCTCTATGTGACATCCTTTTATATATTTGAACATGGCTATCATATCACCCCTTAACCTCCTCTTCTCCAGGCTAAACATGCCCAGCTCCCTTAGCCGTTCCTCATAAGGCATCGTTTCCAGGCCTTTGACCATTTTGGTTGCCCTCCTCTGGACACGGTCCAGTTTGTCAGTGTTCTTCTTGAACTGTGGTGCCCAGAACTGAACACAGTACTCCAGGTGAG